CCCAGTAATTTATTCACATGAACCGCCAAGGTTTAAATTTCAAATGAGGGCGTGTATGAAAATTATATTTTATAAATGTGAAACTTGTGAAGATTATGTTGGATGATATCAATACACTTCTTTATTGTGCTTGTGGATTGTCACATTTTTATTAGCTGTTCAAATATTTCTGTCTAGGGGCCAACCCAATTTACCAACGAGATACATGTGTGATAAAGATGAACAATATAGATTACATTGAAACATATTTACTCAGATTAAAGATAAAGTTAGATGCCTGTTTAGGAAGTTTACTGTTGATAAGAAAAGGGCTCACCTAAAATTACTTTGCCCAAAGTAAACAAATTGAGTACAGGCTAGTTGTACAACTTCCTGTGTTGACACTGGATGTGGTTATGATGGCTAATTTCTGCTGGAAATGTTTAGTTGGTCCAGTCAGGGTTCATATCGGGATACCTTCAACTACATATATACGTGTAGGTATTTTTCCTTCCTCCATGATCCAATGTTTGCAAAAATATGGAAGAACCTTACACTTTACACATGAACTACATGTACATGCAGCAAAGATGGACCAAGTACTGTACATACACTGTATGTTCCAAAACCTGTAGAAGTAGCGGCTTAGCTAGGATTTTACTAGTGGGGGGAGGGTTTGCACAAGGAGCACTGGCATCTTAATAATTATTCTTATTGGGGGCACCAGCTTTCAGTGGTTTGTATTTCGGGGGAAGCTTTTGTTGTTAGCCTTGTTCAATATTCATTTTTTTGGTGGGGGGTGGGCACCGGGATTTTTTTTGGGGGGGGGTCATGTGCTCCCAGGCCCTCTGTGGCTATGCCACTGTGTAGAAGATTGGTTCAGGATGAAAACAGAAACCCCCCCCAGTGTTAATTAATAGAACATGTACACATATTGGAACATTTCCTTCAAAATCACGTCTGCCAGCGTAAAAATTTTCTTTCTAAAATCAGCTCTTGCTCAATGGGTTTGATTTCACGCCCTTTTTATGTGTCTTTTCAAATGTCCTACATGTACTGACCTGTACATTAATCAAAAAGGTTTACATGTACTGAGAAATCGGCACATGTACATGTACATGCGGGACAAATTTGGTTGGAGTTGAATTGAAATACATGTTGGGAGTGTTTCAAACAGTTGTGCTGGTTGAAGATGCAATTGCTGATGCCATAGCGGCAAACGAAAGCCTGACCCCCTGGTATATCTCTGGGGGTACAGCGCTCGGCACTGCACAAGCTGAAGGACTTAGCACTACAAATTACTTCTTCTGGCTAGGTTACTTCATTGTTTCTCACACAGAGAGCAATAAAGTCATGTATTCATAGTGCCACAGCACTGTATGGTACCTTGTCTTATCTGTTCTATTAACTTCAAGCCCTTCTCAACATTTTGGTAATATTATGTAATAAAAAGGTGAGTGATTGTTTGCATTCAGTTGCCCCTAACATTTATGTTGATGTGTTGATAAGAAAAGTTCATCGTAGGTTACGGAATTGTAGATTTCAGAAGTTACTCTTACCTGTTGTTAAAAAAAAGTACATATCGTCAGATCCCTGAAAGATTCCGTCTGAAAATTAAAACTGGTGTCAGCAGTTGCCCATTATTTTAAAATATCCAGAGCTTTGCTCTACTTATTTTGGTCTTAGATTTTATGTTTGCACAAAATGTGAACTTTGGTGTCATTAGCCAAATGAACAGACGACAGGTACATGCACAAGTACTTTGTTACATGTACATGTAGTTCCTGATTTTATACATGTAAGTCTGTTAAGAGTCAGGCAGAGTCAGTCACACCTGATCTACTTTTGTTATTGTTTTATTACCCGGGGGGGGTAGGAAGATGAATTATTTATCATACTCCACTACCAGCAACCAGTACATACTGTGCATGCATGACCAGACAGGTGCAAGCAATTAGCGCAAATGAATCGCTTCATAAAAGGGGAAGGGGTAAGGAGTCTGATGTGACGCCAAGAAGTTCTTGGAAATTTGCCAACTGTGATGGATACCTGCAACCGGACTGGACGTGGGGTGCAGTTTTCTCGACACCATTAATTTAATGCAGCAGACTGTTTGCTTACTGAACATAGCGCTGTGGTTTATCAACTTGTGTCCCATGGATTGTGTGTTAACATGGAGGAGTTTGTGTCCTTCCTTCGTGGTGTTAATGGGCATGGCTTCATGTGTACGTGTGGGTGTAAATCCCTTAGTTTTCAATGCTCTGCCCCAATTAAAAAAAACATTTATCTGTTAAATGGAGCGTGTGTCTTTTGAGGAAAAGTTGTTCATGTTACATGTACAATGCATACATGTACATTACACTCCCTTGAGCAAATTACAAGAGAATGAAAAGAGGCAGTGAGTGAAGCTTTCCACGAACTGACACATTTTTAGTGGTGTTTGTGCGTATTTTAGTTTTTTTTCCAAGTAATGTGTTTCAGTATGCATTCAGTGAGCAAGGATAAAGTTATTAAGTTCATTACATTTATGACTCATGTGAATCGCGTGTGAAGACCTCCTGGCTTGCTTGCAGTTGCAGCGCCCTCATTGGGTGTGCACACATGCGCTACATGTACACTGCATGTAAACCGCAGGTAGCACTCAGCATTGTGGTTTAGTGCAAATCACATGTAATCTTGTTGGATTAAGCATGGTTTTAAGGCCAATTGAACATCTTAACTATTTTTGGTGTCAAGCCACCCACTGTGACATTGAATATTTTGTCTGCCAGTTTAGGAGTATCTTTGTGACAAAATGCCACTCGTCACACACTGCCTGAGACCGTCTCTACCCTGAAGTGGCTTACCATAATGCAGAAAAAGGCTCAAGCAGGCTTCCCCCCCACTGAACAAGTTGCCCTTGGTCATCTAATGACAGCCATGTCAGGAAATTTAGAATGGATTTGATGCTCATATCCTGTGACCAAGACTCACATGAAAGAGATGACGACATCGATTGATATAACTTGTGTTGTGGAGTTGAACAGGATGAGTTTATTTCTTACAAGTTAGTCATTGCTCTGGAGATCAAATTCAGTGTTACCTTCAGGAAGTCCAACAGGGGTCAGCTCGTAAGTCCGACGCCTCATAAGTCCGAAAAGTGTTTTAAAAAGTCCATAAGTCGACACCTCATATGGTAGATCTGATGCCTCGTAAGTTCGGCAAATGCGATTAAAAGTTCCAACTTTTTTTTTTTGGCCCATGGCATAGATCCAACACCTCAAACAATCCTCAAAAGTCCGACGTTTGATTTGACGCTCATTACTAGCGTATGAAGACAGCACTAGGAATAAGACTGGTTCCCGGTGTCAAGTATGGTGTACTATTTATGACGCATGTACACTTTTAAGATTTCAAAAGTATTATAGTAAAAAAATGCTTTTATATTTAACCAAGTATGATACGTCATTCTTACACGTAGTGGTATTTTGGTTAAAATAAAATACTGGACCAGTGTACAAACTGTGCAAGTTGTCTGCTTGATTTAGTTTTCCTAACAGGGTCAGTACCGTGGGCATGAGTTGGGGACAAAGTTGAATCTTGCTCGCAGGCGACCCTTCGCACAGGCCTCGTACTCCTCCATGTTTCACAGTCAATTGCACTGATGCCTCATATTATGTCCGATGTCGGATTTATGCCGGCGTCAGACCGTTTTGTGGCATCGGAACTATGAGGTTGAAAAAAAATTGCCCATAAATCCGACGCCTCATTATTCCGACGCCTCATAAGTCTGAAAATTCAGACTTTTGAGGCGTCGGACCCATGAGGCGTCGGCCTTAAGATATGCAGCCGTCCAACATATATCCCGCACATTCAAATGGAAGATTAGTTTAACTGTTGAAGTCAGTAGCATGAAAACGTTTAGGGCTGGGTCAATTCAAATAATTCACTGTTCGAATATTTGACCTTCAATTTGATTGGATATCTGACTATTCGGTCATACCGACCGGCAGATTGTTGATAAACAAACCATATACAAAATCAGTTGCAATAATGCACACAATTGTACATTATGATCAATATAATAGTTTCTCACATCTAGGAGTATCTCCACCCATGATTTAGCATGATTTAAGAGATGAACAATCTTTCTTGTTCTTGTTGAAAATTTCTGTTCCTTTTAAATTGTTTAATGAACAATTTTCTTTTTGAATCGCTGTAAGATTCCTCTCACTTTTCATTTGAATTTGCTTGAAACAAGCCTCCATAGTGTATTTTTTCTCATTTAAAACAAAAGGAAATTTGCCCTTTTTGTGAATTTTACATGCAAATATTCAAATTCGGAAATAATATTCCATAATCGATTGAATATTTGGATATTTGGCACAGCCCTAAAACTTTTGCATCATCTTAATCAGAATTGCAAAATGGAGTCAATTAAAATCAAATCCAATTTATTTTAGGCATTTGAAACAGAACTATACACGTCTGTAATTCCAATTACCGTACTCAACCAGTAATATTACAAAGAAGCTACATGCATCATTCAAAATGTGAATGAAAATTTAAAGTTTGTGGCACTGACCCCCAAGGCGAGCCTTTGTTTTTGTTATTGTCAATCTGTACTTTTTATTTCAGTTTTTGGAAGCAGGTTGGCTTGAAAAAACAAGTAGCTTCTCTTTGTGTGTTTTTGTCTGTTTTTCTTCTTTGTTTCCTTCTAGTTGTGATTGTGAATACAAATGTATAGCCTATTCATGCTTTACCTGAAGACACATAAACAATCAGAGCAGATTTGTCATTTTTTTAGTCTGCAAATTTCATTGTGTGAGCCAGCTCACAATTAATTTTACATTACAAGTCTGCTAACCGAACTTGAAATGTAAACACTCCTAACAACTAACCCTGTAATTTCTAAGGACATGGAACTGTTGGAACTTCATAAACTGCACGAATGTGCTGGGTGCAGGTATTGTCAGACAACCTTGAACCAAGGAAAAAAAAATATTGTTGACCTGCTTGCGTTGACGTTGGGGGGGGGCTAGCATGTCAGTAATTATGGCACTTCACATGGCATTCACGTGGCATCTACATGTAGGTCACCTTCCCCTGACGTACATATGTACCGGTACATGTACACTGTAGATTGAGACTGCAGGAGTTGAAAGAACACTTCTGAGGAAAACAGGTTTTCTCTTATTTTTAGAAGTGTTCTTTAAACCAACCCTAACAGTAGATTCTGAAAGGTGTTCAAAATATGAACAAAACGGAACAGTGGCAGGAATGCTTGGAATTTCTGGGAACGCATCCAGAAGCTGAAGCAGCTTGGGGCCCTTCTTATCAAATGTCTTCTATTCATGCACCTGTTGCAAACTGTTTTTTGTGATGTACATGTACTATTGTACACCCATAACCTTCAACAACTTTTTACTGAACCTTCTGGCACAATTCATGCTGCTTTCATTCCAGTGTTTTCCATTATTTTGATGGACGTTTTGCTGGGACCTGTTTGACTGAAAATAGAGCTGACGTGACTTCATTTGTTTTTCTTAGACTGAGAAGTTTTAGATTTTCTGTTGGGGTAAAGAACAAGCACAGTCTTGGTTTTGTGCTGCCAGAAATAACACTTCCAAAAGAAATGAAGTGTGCTGTTATCGAGTAAAAAGTGAGGAATGTTGTTGATGTCAGAAGTTCTTTGCAAAATGTAACCAAAAATCCAGAACATGGTAATTTAATAAACATGTGTTTCCTACATCTAGGTTAGCGTATTAGTCATGACTGTGGTATACAGCAGTGTACTACACATGTGCACATAGGTTCAAATGGAGGCCAACTTATGTTGGTGTTTAAAGTTACAGTCAAGGCAGTATCAGAACAGGCTTGTCCAAATCACTTGGCTGTGGCTTGAAATGTCATAT